GCCCCTGGCGGGCCCATGGACGACGCGACGGCGCGGGTGCCCTGAGCGCGGCACGGGTCCCGGGTGCGCGCCCCCAGCGGCGGCCAGGTGAGCGGGGGCGGGGGGTGCTTGTCCTGCTTCCGTCTAGCTCCGGCCGGGCCGCTGCGGGTCGAGGCGGGGACGCTGCGGCGGGGATGGGGACACAGTGCCGCCCGCGGCGGCTCTGCCGCAGAGGGGCGCGGGGCCTGGGTGCAAAGCGGGCGGGCCTGCCGGAGGAGAGGTGCAGGAGGAGGGGCTGCGTGCGGCGGGGAAGAGGCCCCGGGACACAGGACCTGCGTGCACCGTGCGCCCGTGCGCGGCCCCGGGGACCCTGTGTGGCTGCAGTACCGCCTGCGCCAGCTTAGAGGCACGTTCCTCCAGGCCAACAACACCTGTGCGGACAGAGACCCTTGTGGGCAGCTGGAGGCACGTCAAGTCCGCCTGCTGCCGTTGGCCCGGGCCTCGGCCCTGGGGAGGTTCTGGGCCTGGCCAACTGGGACAGCTCTGTGACAGATGCAGGCATTGCCAGGCCTCATCGTCCAGGATCCCTCCCTGCGCAACACTCCTCTTGTCATGGGGCCTAGGGTCAGGAATGCCCTGAAGTGCTGGGCATGGAGGAGGAAAACAACAGCCCAGGCCTCCTCAAGGGAGACAGCAGGACTCAGGCCACCAGGGCTGCCTCAGCCAAGGCCACCTTGGCCTGACTTATGGGGGCACTGACCATCAGAACCATGGGCCATCCAGTGTGCGATTGGGGACAGTGACCAAAGAAAGCACTGGGATGCTGTGTTCAGTTGGGGACAGTGACCAAAGGAGGCCCCAGGCTGTCTGAGCCACCCAGTGTCCAGTGTGGAAAAGTGACCAGAGGAGGCCCTGCAGTTCTCTGGCAGAGCTAATCCAGGTGAGGCTGAGGTGGCCTCCCACCTGCTCTCAAGGACACTCACAACCCTCCCATGGCAGCGTGGCCTGCAGCGTGGTCCTGGCCTGGGCTGGCTCCCTTGGCCTTGACATTGGACCTGAAAGCCAGAGACGCCCTCCCCACCCACCCCAGGGAGTGGAGGGGAGTGGGGCCAAGCTAAGGACCGGCCTTGGTGACTGTGGGCTGGTATCTCAGCACCTTGTCACTCCAGCTGTTTCCTGGGGGCTGTGTAGGTGTGCAGGGGCTGGGCACCACTACAATGTGGGAGCTGCCCTGACAGCCACTCTGGGGTAGCTAGTTCCCCTCAGTGGACTCAAGTGGGAGTCGCATAGTGGAATACTCTCTGGGGGTGGCATGCCCTGGGCGTTGGGCTGTGGCTGGTCAGGCACGTGTTTAGAGACAGGAACATGCTGTGCTAGAGGCCTTGGTGTGGGAGTCTGTGGGGTAGCTGTTCTCCCGGAGTTGCCCTGGGGCACAGTTCACAGAGGTGCAGCAAGTGTGCTACAGTGCTTGTGAGTGTGTGTGCATATTGAGAGTCTCTGGTCCTGGTGTGTGCACAAACCTTGGCATGTGTGTAGCTACAAACAGGACTGAGGTTTGAGAGGGTAAGGAGTATGTGTCTTGTGTGCAAAGTGTGTGCAGAGCATGTGCAGAGGGGTGTGTTCCTGTACATGCAGAGCAGTTGGCCATGCATGAGCCCTGAAGAGCCTCCTCCTGACCTTGGACTTGGGAGCTGCTCGCTCTGGCCCAGAGCCCTGCTGAGGGGGTCTTGCCCTTAGCAACCAGACCTAGGGTGGGAGGGCTTGGCAGGAGTTTGGCCAGGCATGGCCTGTTCTGCCCATGTACCTGCCCATGGCTGACCTGATGTTGCTGTTGCCCCTGCCTCTCCGTGAGCTCTGGGTCCTGGTCCCTGGGAAAGCAGATGGGGAAGGGGCTTCCTGCCAGCGGGGCACCTGCTGTGGGGTTGGAGTAGGCAAGGAAGGGCGACCTGCCCACTGCAGAGCAGCGGCTGGCTCATTCTATGGCTGCTGCAGGAGCAAGCAGTTGCCTGGCACCTCTGCTGTTGCCATGGTGACCGCGGAGGTGCTAACTTGCTAATGAGTCCCCCTCGGCTGCAAATAACGATACTACAGCAGTTAATAGGGCCAAGCTCCAGCTCTGGAGGTGCCCAGGGAGCAGGGGTGGGGACCAAGTGCCACCTGCCAGCGCCCACCCCACCCTCCCTACCTGCTTCAGCCTAGTGTCTGTCTAAGGGTGGCCACCCCCAGCCCAGCATCCCCACACAGCGTACGGTAGCAAGCCATGGGGCTCAGCACCAGGATTCCACCCCATCATGGCCCTCTGGGATCTGTGGCTGTTCAGGGTCTATCCAGAGTGAAGGGGGCCTGGTGGCAGTGGTCTTTCCTTCCCACGTACAAAGTTCACATTAGAGCTCTGAGACTCCCTGAGAGTGTGGCAGGCACTAATCAGAGGGGTCCCCTCTAAAGGGCAGGGACCTTCCTCAGTGGGCCATAGCACCACCCAGTGGGCTGGGGGTCCCCACAATCGGCTGGCCCTTGTCTGCTGTCCTCACCTGTAAAGGGACTGAGGGGAGGCTGGAGCACAGGTGTCCTTGAGGGACCCCAGGCCCCGTAGTCCTATGTACCTGTCCCTCAGGATGCAGCACCTTGGAGCAGGCTCCAGGGCCAGGCAGCCTGGCAGGGCCTAGCGAGCTAGGCAGGAGGTGGGTGGCCTGCCCACATGACCCCCGTGGGCTACAGGTGTGGCACTCTCTGCTCTTCCTGCTCTGGGTTCCCCCATACCCCATGCCCCTACCTGTGAGCTGACCTGGAGGACACACAGGCCTGGGGCAGCTGCTGTCCCCAGTGTCGCGGTGGATGTGTATGAGGGTACCCACGTGGCTAGGAGTGGGGACTTACTGGCGGTACCCTCTGCCATAGACTTTGAGGTGCACCCATAGCTGGGTGGGATGCAGTCAAGTGAAGGCCCTGACTAAGGCCATCATGGGGGCCTAGGGGGGTGGGCATTGAGGGCCCTGGGCTCTGTATAGCCTCCTCTGTGACCTCAGGTTGGGTCCATCCCTGTCCTGTGCCTCAGTTTCCCCACATTTAAACTTTTCTGCATGATACTGTCCCTCCTGGGGGCTGAGGCCTACAGGCTGACAGGTGACCGGTGGCCAGTGGCAGGGGTCCATTCTCCCATTCCTGCTTTCGGCCCTCAGCCTCCAGGGCCCTGCTGAGACCCACAAAGGTGGGGTGCATGCCAGACGCCACTCCACCACACGGAGCCCCAATGGTGGGACAGGCAGGCGGCCATAGTGAAGGGACTCCCAGACCAAGAGGCAGCACTCCAGCCTGCAGCCCCCAGGATACCCCTCTGCAGGATCTGGATCATCAGCCCAGGGAGCAGGATCTAGAAATGGGACACAGACTTGCCTTTGGAAGCAGGAGGCTGCCAGCTGGGAAGGGCAGAGGGTGTGGTGGGAACAAGGCCCAAGCTCTGGACCAGTCCTGCAGAGCCAAAGGGCGGGGTGAGGCAGAGGCCCCAGGGGAAGCTGGGAGCCCTGAGTGTTAATGGCTCACCAAGGGCTCTGAGGCCCCCTCCAGGGCATACCTGTCCTCCACCTCCATGTGTATGGGTGACCCCTCCTGCAAAACCACAGCCATCCAGGGACAGGGGTCCTGGGGTTTGTGTGAGAACCTCACATCCCAGCACAGCTGAACCCCGCCTCCCCCTCAGGTCGGGCGCCATGCGCTAGGGCTCTGTGAGCACCGCAAGGCTACATCCTCCTCACCCGGGATCACTGCCTGCTGCCCACCCCCGCCATGGCTGGGGACCGGCTCCCAAGGAAGGTGATGGACGCCAGGAAGCTAGCCAGCCTGCTGCGCGGCGGGCCTGGGGGGCCTCTGGTCATCGACAGTCGCTCCTTCGTGGAGTATAACAGCTGGCATGTGCTCAGCTCTGTCAACATCTGCTGCTCCAAGCTGGTGAAGCGGCGGCTGCAGCAGGGCAAGGTGACCATCGCTGAGCTCATCCAGCCTGCCACACGCAGCCAGGTACTCATGCTCCACCCCTAGGCGGCCTTTCCGGGCAGCCCTCACCACTGAAGTCAGACCTATGTGCAGGCTGGGACATGGGCCCCCAAACCAACCTGGGCTTCTCAGGGTCACACAGGACAGGCCCACCTCCTCCTGTGTCTCCACCCAGCTCAGAAACCAAGGGTCTACCGCCCCTCTGCCCACAGGGTTCGGAGAGAGGGCACTGAAAGCATGAGGAGGTATGACTGGGCAGGGGGGTGGGGGGCGGGTGCAAGAAGGACATGCAGGGGACAGGACAGCCAGGTCTGGCTCTCTGCTGTGGGGCTGGGGTGCCCCACGCCAAGCTGGCCACACCCCCACCCCATCCTCTCTCAACTCCCTGGAAATTCTCTCCAAGGTCCCCAGGAATGCCCTTCAGGGAGGGACAGCTCCCCAGTCATCTCCTGGGGAGGAGCCAGCTGGGCTCTGACCTCTCCTGCCCATGACGCCCTGGGTGGGCAGAGGACACCAGCTGCCTGACACAGGAGAGGACCCAAGTGAACCGTACTCAGGAGTCTCTGCTCCAGGCCAGCCCCAGCCAGGGAAATCCATGATTAATCACCCCAGCCAGGACTCCTGTCCTCCTGGAGTGCAATCCCATTGGCCAACGGTGACATCATCCAGCCAGGGCAGGCGGCTCAGCCGGCTTAAGGGCTGAGTGTGCTTAGGGGCGGAGACATCGACCTGCTTGAACAGAAGCCACTGACGTCTGGCCTAGGGCGGCCTGCGTGGGGGAGGGGCAGCAGGCACCCCAGCCTCCAGTGCTGCCCGGGCTTCTAAGGGTAGTGGGCATAGAGCAAGGAGCCTGCCCCACCCCATTTCACCACTGGGGCAGAGGCTTAGTGGAGAGGCACACTGGGCCCCAAGGGCACCGTGCTGCTCCGGTGGCCAGAACCTGCCTCCTGCCAGTCCTGAGGACCAGGTTCCCTGTGCTCAGCCACCCTGGGAGGCAGCCCAGCCCCCAGTGCTCTCACTGTGTCTCCCCAGTGGACACCTGCCTCAGCCAGGGTGGCTGCCTTCACAAGCCTCCACACGGCACCCCCATGTGGACCCACCTGTGCCGCTCTAGGCATTTCTACCATTCGTGTATGGGCACACTTTCACAGGGTAGGTAAAGGAGGTATAGAGTGGGTCATCCACCCTCCTCAGATGGCAAGGTGACAGCAGCCTTTCCCTGCTGTCCTCTAAGTCTGCCTCCCGGTCAGAGGTGATGGCAGGACGTTGGGCACTTGATGGTGCCTGCAGTGCCCTGACCTCTGCCCGCCTGGCCCCCAGGTGGAGGCTGCAGAGCCACAGGATGTGGTGGTGTACGACCAGAGCACACGGGACGCCAGCGTGCTGGCTGCAGACAGCTTCCTGTCCATCCTTCTCAGCAAGCTGGATGGCTGCTTCGACAGTGTGGCTATCCTCACAGGTGAGGCCATCCCCCAGCCCTGTGCGCCAGGCTAGGGGTGTCTGAGGAGGCCAGCAGTGCAGGAGGATCTCTGGCTGCGGGTGTGGGGGCTGAGACTCCCACTTCAGAACACCTGCACAGAGCCCTGACCCACTGCAACTCCCAGTGAAAAGGAGAACAAGAGGAGACCCCAAAGCCAGCCCATGGTGCAAAGGGACCTGAGTATGGGGAAGGGGCAGAGCCTGACCAGGGGCCTCCTGCGCAGAGGATGAAGGTTGCCTAGCAACAGGCACCTTGAACAGGGCTGCTGCCAGGAGCCCTGAAAAGGAAGCACTGGGGAAGGGAACCTCCACGTGCTCAGGCCACCCATTCACACTCACATCACAGCGAGCTCAGTTGGGCATGCTCACACCCATGTACACACACTCACATACCTGTGCACACATCCTTGTAGACTCACCCATGCACACTGAGATGTAGCCATTCACACACACGTGCTCCACCCTGCGCACATTCACCCTCATGCGCACTCCCATGCACCCATATTTGTGCCCACATTGTACCCATTTGCACACTCCTGCACACACCCTTGTACACCCACTTGTGTACACTCATCTATGCGTATCTATCCTCTTATGTAAGCTCACCTTCATTTCACCTTCATTTCTGTGCACACTCATGCACTCACACTTGTACACATGTACCTTTTACATATATTCACATTCACACATGCACTTACACCTGGGCAGCCTTCCACAAATGTACTGTGCCCATCGTCCATGCTCTCACACTTACGAGTAGTCACACTGTGTAGTACCTGTCTGTGTACATTCGTACGCATGCACGTGCCCATGCACACTCACACACATAGGTACTGGCGGAGAGCGCTTCTGAAGCACCCCCTCCTAAGGACACAGTGGGTATACCTGGCTGTCCCAGACCCCAGCTTCTCCTGCCCAGGACTCCCCTGCCACCTGGCCTCAGCCTTCTAGGCAGAGGACACAGGTGTAGATGGAGAGGTGAAGACGGCACCCCATCCCACCACCTGGCCAGCAGAGCAGCCGTAGCCCTGCTCTCTTGCCCACAGCAAGGTGGAGCCCCAGACTGGCTTTCAGACACTGCTGTCTGTGGGATCAGTGACCCCCAGCCCCACCTGTGAGGAGGCACCGGAGCCCTGTGGGTTGCTCAGGCCAGGGTGCAGGACAGACCCCAAGATAGCAGTGCAGCCCCACCCCGGGGACGTGGTGCGTAAGCGGCCTGCTCAGAGGGGTGGGGGGTGCACATGTGACCTCTGGAGTCCACACTGGTCCTGAGCCTGCCTGGTGGGCCTGTGATATGAAGGGCCCAGCTTCACCGAGGCTGAGCACTGGGGAGGCAGGGTGCATGGAGTGTGGGCAGAACAGGACCCCTCCCAGTGCCCAGCACACCCTAGCCAGAAACAGAGGCTGAGACCCTTCCTGTGGAAGTGCTCAGGGTCCAGGAAGTCTCTCTCTAACCTGTGGGCTAGCAGGCCTGCCACACTAGACACCAGGATGGGGACAGCACTGCCAGAAGGTGCACCTGGGGCCAGCCACACCCTCTCTGGGCTGCCCCTCCACTGTCCTGATGTCCAGCCCAGTGAGGTTTGAGTCTTTGTCTCTAGTCCCCTAAAGGCCCATCCAGGATGGTGTCATGGCCACCTGCCCTTGCCCACCTACCCTCACCTGAGCTGGGCACAGCCCCTGCCCTGAATAGTGAGAACAGATGGGAAGGGCTGTAGAGTGGGCCACCCATGACAAAGGAAGGCTTCTCCTGGTTCTCACACAGTGGCACTAGGGACAGAATGGTGCCCTCCCTGGGTAGAGCAGCAAGATGGGACAGTGGAGGAAGGGGACACCTCCATCCATGGAGAGCAGCCCCACTTCTGGGCCTCCCTGCCCCACCCTTCCTCCTGCTGTCCCTCCCAAGCTGGCCTCCAACTGTACCATCTAGGGGTCCCCACAGGCCCAGCACCAAGTTGGCCTCCTTGTGGGACATCTTTGCACTGTGACATGGCCAGTGCCAGTGCCACCTGCTTCTCTGGTAGGTTCCCAAGAAAGGGACCAGACATCTCTGAGGCTGGTGCCTCTACCTCCCTGCCTGGGGGCCTTCCCAGCTGCAGATACCCAGAGCTAGGTCAGGGAGCTCACACAGGGCATGCTGGGAGCTGGGCCAGGGAGTGAGGGATGGCCACCCCACCCTCAGAAGCCACCTGGGCCCCTGCACCTTCCTCCCGTGCGGTGAGGTGTGCTTAGCCATTGTTCCGAGGCGGAAGTCAGAAACTGCCTGCTGGGGGGCTCACTGCCTGGAAGCATGTGCAGGCAATCCTGAGGCTGCTTGGGGACTCACCGGAGCCAGGTCCCGACTACGGCGTGCCTGTGGCTCAGCCTTGTTTCTGCTGTGTGGAGGCAGGATGTGGAAATTGAGACCAGAGGCTGGCTTGGCTGTGGTCACTGAGTCGGACACACCAGGAACCCTTGCTCAGTCTCTCCAGCCCACAGCAGAGGCTCCTTCACCGGCCCCTATCAGCTCCCTCCTGCTGGTGGCTGGCAGCCACGACCCGACTGTAGATGCCACTGCAGGGTGTGCCCATTCTGGGGCGAGGTCATGCTTCAGACCAGGGGGCCCTCTGTGAGACTCACCCCCAGACCTGGCACCCCAGCCCAGGCTAGGGCTCGGAGGTGTGTGCCTGGTGGGGCAGGGGCAGCCAGGCTGGGGTTAGGTGTGCAGAAGATGGGGGTGACGCACCATGAAAGGGGCCTCCAGCCCCTGCCCGCCCAGGTGCATGATGTGCCCCTGCCACCTCAGTGTTCTTAGCAGCATCAGGTCGCGTCCTTGGCCCCTAATTAGCAGGAAGAGGAATGTGGGCAGGCTGTAAGTGGGCATCAGCACGCACCTCTGTGGCGTGAGTGGCCTGCCAGCAGGAAGCAGGTGCTTGGCTGGCCGGCCGGGCTGGTCCCCAGGGTGTGGTGGGGCAACAGCAGATGCTGTGGCCTGGCCTTTCCTGCCTAGCTGACCTGCCAGCCTGACATGCCTACTTGTCTCCTCCCGCAGGGGGCTTCGCCACGTTCTCTTCCTGCTTTCCCAGCCTCTGCGAGGGCAAACCCACCACCCTGCCACCTATGAGCCTGTCCCAGCCCTGCCTGCCTGTGCCCAGCGTCGGCCTGACCCGTATCCTGCCTCACCTCTACCTGGGCTCTCAGAAGGATGTCCTCAACAAGGTGTGATCGCAGGGAGCTCCCACTGACAGGGCAGGGCCCCAGGGCGGTGGCCAGGAAAGGGTGGGGGCATGAGGGAGGGCCAGAGGGTAAGGAGGGGAGCCCAGGCCCCAGCTGTGCCACAGAGGTACCAGCTCCTGGCCCTTTCATGGTGCCCCCCCCCAGCCATTTCTGAGAGGATCTGTTTTAAAAATGGTGAAGAAGAGCAAAGCCACGGCCCAGGCAACCCTAACATTCCTGGGAGCCTGGGTGAGCCTCAGGTGGGCTGGCAGGGGAAGCTGTCATTGCCACACCATCACCGGGCCACGGGCTCCGGGCCAAGGTGTCCAGGGCTGACTCCAGGCTCAGGGGCCAGGCTCCAGTGCATCCCAAAGCTGAAGGCCTTCCTGGCCATCACACCCGTTTCCAACCTGTCCTCCACCCCTCCAGGATCTGATGACCCAAAATGGAATAAGCTACGTCCTCAATGCCAGCAACTCCTGCCCCAAGCCAGACTTCATCTGCGAGAGCCGCTTCATGCGCATTCCCATCAATGACAACTACTGTGAAAAGCTGCTGCCCTGGCTGGACAAGTCCATCGAGTTCATTGGTGAGGGGGGAATCTGGGCCCCCGGCCGGGGCGGGGCTTGCAGAGGGCCCTGAGCCCGAGTGAACTGGGCAGGGCCTGCTCTCCCAGCCCTCATGGTCCCCTCGGCCCACCTGTGCAGATAAAGCCAAGCTGTCCAGCTGCCAAGTCATCGTGCACTGTCTCGCTGGCATCTCCCGCTCTGCTACCATCGCCATCGCCTATATCATGAAGACCATGGGCATGTCCTCGGACGACGCCTACAGGTACCCTCACGGGCTGGGCCCGGCCTCCCACAGCAGCGCCACCTAGCGGGTGGGGGCTGACTGGGGGTGGGGGCTTTGGGGGACCGACTGCCAAACCCCCAGCCACGGAAACCCTCCCCGCCAGGTTTGTGAAGGACCGGCGCCCGTCTATCTCACCCAATTTCAACTTCCTGGGCCAGCTGCTGGAGTACGAGCAGAGCCTGAAGCTGCTGGCTGCCCTGCAGGGTGACACCCCCCACCCAGGTACCCCCGACCCCCTCCCGGGCCCCGCAGCAGGGGTACCACTGCCAAGGCTGCCACCACCTACCTCAGAGAGTGCTGCCACCGGGGGCATGGCGGTCGCTGCAGCCAGGGAGTGTGGTGCCCGTGGGGAGGCCCCAGCTGCCAGCCCAGCCACGAGCGCCCTGCAGCAGGGCCTGCGTGGCCTGCACCTGTCCTCCGACCGCCTGCAGGACACCAACCGCCTCAAACGCTCCTTTTCCCTGGACATCAAATCGGCCTACGCCCCAAGCCAACGGCCAGAGCACCCTGGGCTGCCTGACCCTGGCGAGGTCCCCAAGTTGTGCAAGCTGGACAGCCCCTCGGGGGGCACACTGGGCCTCCCCTCACCAGGCACGGATAGCCCAGATGCCAGCACAGAGATGCGCCCCAAGCCCCGCCGACGGCACCGGCCCCCTGCCAGTTCCCCAGCCCGCTCCCCAGGGGCGCTCAGCCTGGGCCTGAACTTCGGAGATACAGGGCGCCAGACTCCACGTCACGGCCTCTCTGCCCTGTCCACACCCGTGCTGCCGGGCCCAGGCCAGCCAGCCAGCCCCGGGGCCTGGGTGCCACCACTAGACTCCCCGGGGACACCGTCACCCGATGCACCCTGGTGCTTCAGCCCTGAGGGTGCACAGGGTGCCTTCAGCCTGGCAGGCATGCCAGGGACCAGTGCTGGCAGTGGCACCCGGGACACATGCACCAGCTGGCCTGAGGAGCCCACTCCAGACCCTCAGTTCAAGAGACGCAGCTGCCAGATGGAGTTTGAGGAGGGCTTTGCAGAAGGGCGTGCACGTGGTGAGGAGCTGGCAGCCCTGAGCAAGCAGGCCAGCTTCTCAGGCAGCGTGGAGGTCATCGAGGTCTCCTGACCCCAGCAGGGTGGTCCCTTGCCCACTGCCTCAGCACCTCGGGCAGCAGTCAGCCCCGTATAACTATCTATTATGTATAATACAAAGGAAGGTAAATGGTTTTACTGCAATTTTTACCAAGAAGTAAATATTTCAATTTTTTATTTATTTAAGCAGTTCATGCTGGCAATGATTCGGCAACCCTGCGGGCGGCCCTCGGCGCTCTATTTTTACTGTCTGGTATTTAAACCGAAACACTTGTCTCTAAGCAATAGGAGGTCACCTTCTGTCACTGTTGCTGAGCTGCAGTGCCAGGCCTGGGACCTCCCTGCGACCCCTTCCCCGGAAACACTGCTGATGTTGCAAAGAGACTGCCCGGCTTTTGTGCACTTTTTACAAAAAGGGGAAAAAAGGAAAAAAAAAAAAAAACTTTGCCACAAACTGAGCCGCAGAACCTCCCTCTCTTCCTCCCTCCCTCCCCACCTGCCTGTCTCCCTCCCTCCCTCCCTCTCTC